AACAGCTTAAGACACTTGGTGACTTTCTTAGTTCATTTGTGGGGGAATGGACACACAATGAGGTTTTACTACTGAAGTTAGCTATTTGGTAAAAACTCTAGGAAGAGTTCCATCAAGAAAATGGTTATTTTGGAAAGACAAGTTATGATTATTTCCAAAACGTCAAAAGGAATAAGAATGTAAACACTATATACTTAAAATGTTAATGCAATAATATTAACTCAGTCAAATAAAGAAAGTGGCACCAAATTTATGGCAATTTTTCAAAACAAAAATGCAGCTCAAGGATATTTAAAAATAAATAATTGGTTCAAATAGGGACGACCATTCTCAGCACAAATCAACAACATTCAAAATAAAGTGCTATGAGAAAAAGTAGCCCCACAAACTTCGACTTATTCACATATGAACAGAGATACTATCTGGATCTTTAGGTCTGAAATATTCACCATGAGGGAAAGCTAGAGGCCAGGCTTAGGGCCATCTTTTGTCATTTTTCTCTTTTCTTCCAGCGTGTGCTTAAATATTTTCTTCAGGGTGTTGTAAACTATTGGTCCATTTTCAGAATCAAAATTAACCTGGTAATAAAGAAATTTATATTCAGGACACTGTAACAAGAATTTTAACTAGTTCCTATTTTGAGAGAAGGAGGCGGTGGAGAAAAAAACAGACTTACGAACAAAACTCTATATAAAATACACATAATAAATTTCACACATTTTAGTTGAAAGACTATATTAGAACTGCCAACCATGTCAATACCAAACTTATGAATGAAAACCCCAAAATTAAATCTAGTGCCTGGATATTTAGTCTAATTATACACACCCAGACATGAAGCAAGTCAACAGTGGGTGTGAAGTGAATTTTTTGAGACTATTATTGATGGTATAAGGGAAAAGTTTCCTGTATTAAAACAGCACATCAGCTGTATACGTCCTGCTGAGAGGCCCTGTGGCCACTCTGGACAGAATCAGAGTGATGCGAATAGAAGCCCAGCTCCCCACCTGCTAGCTATGTGCCCTCATCTCATACCCAACCTCTCTGGACCTCGATCTCCTTTGTAAAACAGAGATAATAATACCCACCTTCATAGGATAGCGTATCTGTGAGTCTAACATATGTTTGGTACATATGTACAAACCTCAACTGGTCAGGCGTGGTGGCTCACGCCTGTAATCCCAGCACTTTGGGAGGCGGAGGTGGGAGGGTCGCTTGAGCCCAGGAGTTCGAGACCAGCCTGGGCAATAGAGCAAAACCTCATCTCTACAAAAAATTAAAAAAAATTAGCCAGGCACAGTGGCACGTGCCTGTTGTCCCAGCTACTTGGGAGGCTGAGGTGGGAGAAATGCGTGAGCCCAGGAGGCAGAGGATGCAGTGAGCTGAGATTGTGCCATTGCACTCCAGACTGGGCGACAGAGTGAGACCCTGTCTCAAAAAGCAAACAAACAAACAAACCCCACCTTGATAAAGGTAAATTTCCTTTCCCCTTGATGGGAGAGCACTATTTACACATATTTGCATTTTTTCACCCAAGTTTACCATACTCTGGGTTAGGAGTGATGGCAGAACTGAGAACCAGAGCAAGTACCCACCCTCAGCCCCCTTCCCAGAATAGTGTGTGACTCCCTGGGAAAGAATCAGGGTCACACAATCACTGCTTCTCTCCTTCTGGAATTTCTCCTCTGATAAATTTTGAAAATGGAAGGTTGTTCCCTCTGTCAACAACTGTAAAGGATCTGACTTTGACCTGTTAGCTTGCCAGTGTTACGGACACTGGTAGAAGATACGAGATTTCCGGGTCAGAGACAGACAACTTTTATTTCTCACAGCTGCACGTGCTTCATGTTCACATGGGTTCTCTTTGTCTCCCAAGTCTCATGGGGGCAATGCAGAGGGGCCTAGGTGGAGGCTGCACAAGCACGGGGTTTGCCTCATAGCTGAGGAGCCCCAAGCTTAGGAAACTCCAATGTTTCACAAGCGGGCTGCAAAAAATTCTGCCAACCTTTGCCCTGAAGGGAAACATTTTTATTATCCGGGAAGTCAGAACGTGTGCCTTCTGTTCTCCAGGCAGAGCTCTCCAGACACTAGTGAAGAGTTGATCCCCAAAGAGAGTGGTCAGGGCATCTGCTCATCAGACTATGAAGAGACCTGAGAGACCCAAGGAAAA